CACCTACTACCATCCCCTGCAGATATGTGTAGCAACAGCACCAATTACCATTCCACTCAGGAACTAGAACAGCTGCAGCTTCTCCACAAACTGAGGATCTTGGGTTGCTGGATCAAGTAAGGATTAGGTTCCTATGGCCCCATCCCCAACAGCTTATTTGGAACCAGCACAGAGAACTCTTGGGATATAGAGAACTTGAAGGCTCCATAGATGGAACATCTATGCAGTCTTGCCTTGAGGCTTAACTGGTTTGCACACCACTGCACTGGACCTGTGCCTTTGCATGAATTTCACCCTTAGTAACAAAAGGAATAGTTACCTTCCATATTATCTTTATACAACCTGAACTAATCTTTCTAAATTCAGAAGCCTCTGGATTTGTTCCAACAGAAGTAAACATCAGGGAGGATAACAAAAGGCAGGAAAAGTTTATATATGAACAGTAAGCATTATTTTAACAATTGCATCCATTTTGATTATCCCAACCAAAAGTTACCAATGTTGTTAGTGTAAATTCTCTCACCTGCTCTTTGTCTTTGAGCCTTCCATGGGATAGTAGAAAAGAGCAAAGATGGTAAGAACGGTTTCCATGGTGTTTGTTAGAGTTCTGGTACAGCAATACCATGTAAACCAAGAGCACAACTGGCAAAGGTACTAAAAACAATTATGAACAACAGGGTATGGGGGGAGGGAAGCGTTAATACAATATTTGTATAGCCTTTAACAAAAGTGGTGATAGCATTTAAGTCTAAAACCTTTCAGACATTTACTAATATCATTAAACCATTTCTTAATTTCTGCAGTACACTGTATGCTAAAATACTATAAGGCACATACATAAGACATGTATTTCAAGGCTGAGACTCACCACCCACTTTGCTGTTTCTGCATTTTCTAGGTGTCTCACTAATGAGTAAAGCTTTACGTCTGCTAGAGCTGACAGAAGTGCTTGCACAAGTCTAGGGATCCAAATCTACATTAACAAAAAGAAGAGAAAGTTTCCTTATTTTTCTGACTTTTGTTTCTGAAGCCCCTATTAACTCCCAAGTTTAACTGCAATATATAAAACTAGGAGATTCTTGAAACAGCAATCCACTGAGGAAACAAAACTAAAGGTATATGACTGTCCTCTGTACATTTTAATGGAAAGCTCTTATTATTTTAAATACCGTAGTCCTAGAGAAAGATGAGTCCAGAGTTTCTATTAAAACCAAGCAAAGAAAGCCAGTCAATTTGACATTCAGTTGAAAGTTTCCAGAAACTCAAGGCAGCACTTTCAAAATTGTTCCACAATGATGTAAGTCATCTTCTAATGAAGTCAATGGGAGTTTTATTCACAGTCTTCAGTGGCAGAGTTATGTCAATACCGAGTGCTTTTGAAAAAAACCTACCCTCAGATTCTGTTCAGTTGTTAGTTATTTGCAGTGGTCTTATACTTACAGCCAAAGTAATCTGCTAATTAAAGAGCTACTGAGTACATCATGTTCTGACTCTAATGGCTAAGGATATGATTTCATCACGGAAGTCACAAATTCCATGACTTCAATGAACCTCTGTAACTACTTCAGCTACAGTCCCCCGCCGCAATGACTGTGGTGGGGGCTGGAGCTGTCAGCCTCCCCCCGGCTTCAGTCCCCTCACTCCATTATTTGTACTAAAAGTCATGGGCAGGTTGCGGGCTTCCATGAATTTTTGTTTATTGCCCCCGACCTGTCTTTGACTTTTACTAAAAATAACTGTGACAAAATTTTAACCTTACTAGTGGCAAAACCCTATCTTCTTTGACATTTGAAGAGGTTGACAGAGGTCAAGAATCACCATCTTCAGCCCCACTTCTGCCACTGGAGCCATGCAAGGGGACCCTTGTGGCCAGGCAGAGCCAGAGTTAACTTAATTGAGGCTTCGGGCGCTGGCGAGTGTTTCACTCACCTGGATCCAATGGCCAAATCTGGGTCTTTCATTTTATGTGGAGGGCAGTTAAATTTCTTACCTACAACACTTTGAAATTAATTTTAAGTAGTATCTGAGCTTTTAAAAAATATTTCCTTTGTACTTACCAGCAGCTGAACGTCATCCTTTGCCAGCAGCTGTAAAACTCTGTAGATAGTTGCAAAGAGTAGTGGGTATGAATAACCCCTTAAACCTTCTGCCCATTCCCAGGTCAAGTAGCCATAATTAGTAATATTAAGGATATTTAAAGAACTTAAAAGTTTTCCTGTTAGCTTTCTGCTTATTCTCAGGATTTCCTGATTCTATGTCAAAAATCTTACTCTGTGGCCATTTTCAATTAATGATTTCTGCCAATGGTCATATTAATTTCTCACTGCTAGGGAAACCTCTAGCTTAACACGTCTCCTACCAAAAAAGGACAGTAGTAGTGACATAGCTCCAGGAAAGTTACTAGGATATATAAAAGCATGGAGTGGAGAGAGCATTACTAGGGCAATAAAGTCATCATAAACAGATATTACAGTATTGAGGACACAATTATGACAAAATGAAAAAGTGAGCACACTTAGTTCAGTTCTAGAAAGATTCCCCTCATTTTAACTTCAAAAAGCAAAGGATATTTGAATACCATATGATGTGCGACTTCAAGCGACTGCCAATATTCATCTGGAACAAAGCTTGTCTGGACTAAAAAGCAGTTAAGTACTCGCAGAGTTATGGTAAACAAGACCAGATAAATGTTCTCGCCAATAAGATCTGAGAAAGCAAAACATTAGTTTAGAGAAAGTCCTTGTTATATTCACTGAAATAATAATTGTTTATGGCTATTGATCATTGAACAAAGGCATTCTCTTTAAAATGATAGCTTTTAACTGTATAGTAGCTTGATCTTCTTAGAAGTGAGATATATGGTAGCACTTCTGAACAACTTTCATTGTAAGAAAAAATACACATCATACTTAATCCTTTGTCAAGAAGTTCCATCATTTTATGTCTCATTTTGCAGTTTGCACTTTAATAGCATTATTCCTTACAGCCTCCAGTTTGATTCCATGTTGAAGTCTTAAATTATTGTAAACTACTGTATCATCAAATCAATTGCAATGACTGAAGGATCAAAATCCAAATTAAAACTGAATTTAGTGAGAACTTTTCAAACAGGTACCTTGGACAGTTATTAGTGAGGAAGAAAGAGTTAGTGGCTTTGGGTTTAGTTATTCTTCCCCACAGCTGGCTTCATTAAAAAAAAATTGCTCTCCTCTGGAATCTCAGCTTTTATAGATATATATTTTTACAAGTAAGCCACTGGCTCTCAAGTTTGTAAACATTAATTGAATGTAACTGCTGTAGTGGTGTCTGATTTTGCAGAATCTGAAAAATTGACAGAGGTGTGAGTAGCCCTGTTCATTTCACTGGTTACTGACTCTGATGTCCAATGAATGATAGCCATTTGAATTAAGAATAACTATTTCAAAATTGATCAAAGCATGAAGGAAAGGTGAGGAATGGATAGAGGACACTTGCAGCAACCAAAAAGTGTTACTTTCCCACGGTTTAGTGGTGGCAAGCAATGTTCTTCAGAGTCCCCTGCTACAGGGTCAGTTATGGTAGCCTCCTTCTTCCCCCGCAATGATGGCAGCAGAATGACACCCTGAGGGGGCCTAATCTGCTCTGGTGGTGACTGCAGGGGTCAGGCTGCTCCCTCCCTTACTGCCACTAGCTGCAACTGCTGCTCCCCCCTCTGCTGGAGGCTGTCTACAAACTCAACTCAAGCACATCAGCTATACTGACCTCTCCAGTTTCTCTTCATAAATGTGAGCTAGAAACTTTTTAAAGTAAAAGATTAGGTTCTAATGTAATCAGTTGACTTTGGGAACATGCTACTTTTCTTATGCCTTCATGTAATCATGGGTGTATCCTATCCTAATCAACGGTGAACTCTAGCAGTGCAGCTATACGAAGTTTTGAAGTGCATAACTGCTGCAAAAGACATCTCGCATTGGAGTCCCAAGGAGGCGAGTTTGCGGGCAGAGTTTCTGAAGAATTGCTTCCTCCGCCCCGCCCCTTGAAGAAAACACCTCACACGCAACCTGGCGTAATTACGAATCCCCTTGGGTCCCTCCCACTTACCCAACTAACAACGGGAAGAGACTGCAAGCCCCTGGCCCACTCTTGGCTGGGAGAGAGCTGAGACCAGCCCCGCTGTGCTGGTGCCTCTCACCCCCCCACGCAGCCGGCCCCTCTGTTGGGGTGTCTCGCTAAGCGGCGGAGCTCCCTCTCCGATCGCTGCGGCCCGGGGTCAGAGGGCTCAGCGGGACACAGCTCTGCCTATTCCACCGCGTGCCCAGCCTCAGGCCCTTCCCTCAGAGCTTCTCCCCTCCCGGGCTCCCCTCACCTGGGCCCCGCTCCCCGCCGGCCCCCGGGGCAGCGCCGTACAGCGCAGATTTTCTCTTCCGGAGCCGCACGGTATCGGCACTGCGGGTCCGGCCACGGGGGAAGACCCCGCCTCCACCCCCCGCCCGCATGTCGGACTCCGCTCTCTGCATGGAGCCTCGAGGCCTGGCGGGCCACTCTCTCTTCCGCAGTGGGCGGAGTCAGAGTGACGCCCGGGGGCGGGGCTGTGGCCATGTCGGAGCTTTTGGAGGCTGGGTGAGCGCATGTGCGGAAGAGTAGGGGCGGGCGTTTGGGTCCTTAAGGGCGGGGCCAGGCTCTGTACTTCCGGTAGCTTGTTTGGCCTCTGGAGGTTTCATCTCTATGGTTGAATCGGTTCGACCAAGGGGCCTCGGAGGTAGGTGGCGTGCGCGGCCCCGCGGTAGGAGGGGTTTGCGGGGCTGATGTCCCCGGATCTCTCCTCTCGCTTCTCTACCCCAGCCCCCATTGACGATCTGGGTGGGGGGAGGGTGTGTGTTCCCCTCAGCCTTGCTGTGCCCAGCACGGAGCAACAGAAGCCGCTGGACGCGTGCCGCTTCCTCCTCCCACCCCCGTGCCTTTCCTTGGCTGCCCGCGGGTGGGGCTGCGCTCAGGCCTTGGGGTGGCGCCCCCTAGTCTCCTCCCCTTTTGCCGCCCCCGCCCATATTTCTAGATCCGCCCCGGCCCCGTGGGCGGGCGAAGGGCCGCGGGCAGCGCCTCTCCCGCACGCTGCCTCCCCCTCGGGAAGCTGGGCGTTATCGTCTTGATACGCCTCTCGGGTTACAGCTCTCCCGTGCCGAGCGGTCTCAGCTGTTTCAGTCCACAGCCCTCTGCTGCCCGCCCTGGCTGGCTAGTCCCGCTGGTGTCGGGAGCTGGAGTCTGGAAAAGAGCTGGTGGGTCGTGTCCCCGAGCCTTTAATCCGTGCGGCGTCTGTCACCGAGCCGCTGGTAACCGGGATTTCAAGTCGCACTTCTCTCAGTTACACCTAGTGGCTAGTACTTAGTGAACCGCCATTGAAATCCAGATTGCTGTGAGCTCAGGTCGCGGGGAGAGACACTAGCCGCGGGGGCATTGCCTCGCGGGGGGCGACGCCGACTGCGAACGGACACAGGGCAGTGGCGGCGTAAATTTTCCCTATGCTGCCCTAATGACGCTGCTGTTGAAGGAGACTGTAATCGGCTTTCTGAAGGGGAGTTAAATTTCTAAAAAGTTTGGGGAAATGCTGAGAGAGTTTTCTGCCATATTTTTTATGTGTTTATCATTTAACAATGGCACTGCTTTACAGAATGGACAGACACATTCCCTCTACTTTCAGAGGAACAGCCGTGTTAGTCTGTATTCGCAAAAAGAAAAGGAGTACTTGTGGCACCTTAGAGACTAACCAATTTATTTGAGCATGAGCTTTCGTGAGCTACAGCTCACTTCATCAGATGCATACCGTGGAAACTGCAGCAGACTTTATATACACACAGAGAATATGAAACAATACCTCCTCCCACCCCACTGTCCTGCTGGTAATAGCTTATCTAAAGTGATCAACAGGTCTACTGAAGAGCTGACAGGCAAATGCGATCTATTGGATGATATTGGAACTAGTACCCATAAAAACCTCAATCCTGTTCTGGAGAGTGGACTTAAAGACCTCCACACTTCTGATCTTTGTATTATACAGTACAGAATGTGTGATCCAGTTCCTCCATGTGACCAAGAGAAACCTGCTTTTAAGGTGAAGCAGTGTTTACAAGAGAGGAGCACTTCTATCTTACTATCAGTAACTGAACACTGATTGTTAATCATAGTTGGAGTTCTTGCTCTGAAAAGTGGAACAGAGCCATAATTCTTATGCTGTCTCAGTTTAGGTGCAAAATATAAATATTGGTCTTAGACCCATCTGTTCACAGTTCAAATTGATTTCAGTGGAAATTGTGTGCATGGGTGATGTCAGAGTATTTTTTGTTTTGTTTTTTGTATAGCAGCCCCTACCCAAAGTAACTGTGATAGTCACTTGTCCATACTTCATTCTTTTTGGACTGCAACAAACATTACAATGAGTAACATTTTACATTCACTTTCATTTATATCCAGATCTGAAGATTTTGCTTGGCTACTCAGATGTCTTTAGAATTTCTTTGAAGACCGGTGTGGCAAGTTACAGCTTTGGCTGTTAAAATGTATGGTAAAGTGCCATTACCTCATATCTTTCTGGGGGCTCTCCTTGGAGTTGCAGGAGGAGTCTACATCTATAAACCAATACTTGAACAATATCACAGAAAACAAAATAAATTAAAAGAAACGCTGCAAGCACCAGAACTAGAAGAGAAGAAAGAATAGCAGGAATTACATGGAGCTGCTTGGTGATATTGGCTTAGACACCATAAACTTCTGTTCTGAGATAAAAACAAAATAACCTATTTTATTCTTCAAAATGAAACTGGTTTGTCTTGGTGAAGAATAAATATGCTTTTTAATTAATGTAAATGTGTTGTTTTCTTAGTTGGCCAGCTGCACATACACTGACTGAATTGCATTTGTTTCCACTGACATTTTTCCTTAAAATTATAGGTTTCTAGTCTTATGCAAATTCAGAGTTAGGTCTGTCACTCTGCCCTTAGTCCTAACCCCATTGGGAATAGAAAGCATACTTGTATGTGTGATCTGAGAATGGAGTGTGCGACCCAACACTGAGTTTCTTAGCTTTTTAACAGCATGTTATAACCTTCATGCTGTAAAAGTACAAAATTAGACATAGGAGAGCGAGTGCCTTTTAGGGAGAGATGCTCCGTAATGGTGTGAGCACAAGGCTGGAAGGGTTAGGGCCTGCTGAGTTCTAGTTTGAGGTCTGACACTGACTTTCAATGTGTGTTTTTCTTTTGAGCGGGGGGAGGCAAGTCAACTGACTTCTCTGTACCTCAGTTTCATTGCTACTAAAGTGGGGCTAATGCTTACCTGTGATTTCTCACAGGGAATTGTGATGATTAGATAGATAGTAAATGTGAAGTGTTTTGGTGGTGGTAGGTATGCTTATTAGTCTATCCCTCACAGTCAATGCAGGATTGCTCCTAACCAACTATTTCTTAATGTCTTGTCCACTGTGGTTCTAAATGTTCTACTTGATGGGACTCTTTAGGAGCTAATGCTGCAGTCTAATAAGTCACCCTTTGGAGACTACTTCAGCACAAAGATGTTGTATATGTGAATTTGAAAATGGTCACCATAATAAACAAAATCTGGTGCTAGGGTGAAACAGCACTGCACACTTTCATAGTATATTTTTAAAAAGCATAACTGTCTTGGAAGAGCTATTTTAATTCAAATCTAGGTGGTGTCCATATGGAATCTCATTTGGACAGCACAAGAAAAGTGCATTTCCCTCAACTCATAACATTTTATTATTAAACTTTTAATGTTCCCTTCCTAAGACTTTTAATTTAAAAAAAAAAAAAAAAAAAAAAAGCCTGAAGGAAGTGGCAGCTGGATTCTGTTAGGATATAGATATTCAGGCCTGTCTGCAAAGGCCTGTCCTTTAAGAATTTAGGGGTATTCTTATCACTTGGCTAGTTCTAGAGGTATAAAAGAGAGAATCAAAATCACTGTCTGCTGGTGTAAGGGCCTTCTCTTACTGTGACAGTTTGAGGCCCTGTTCTTAGGCTAAGGCCTTTGGCTAAGCAGCAGAGGCAGCCATAAGCTAGGAAGCGAACAGTCACATCCTCACATTCCAAACTAGTCACATTGAAAGAAGGTGCTATTGGGCTGTCAGGCACTATCAGGACAGGATTGTATTCCTATCATCTCCAGAGAAAGGGAAGTGCCTAGAAAATGTAAAAGGAAACTTAGTTTGATAGCATCCTGTCTGGCAAGAACTCACTTATCAATAGCTGGGATGTGAAATCCTCACTTCTGTATTGTTTTGTCATTATAGTTCCCACTTTGCTATTGTTTGTCTGTATAATCTCTGTCTGGTTCTGTGATTGTTTCTGTCTGCTGTATAATTAATTTTGCTGGGTGTAAACTAATTAAGGTGGTGGGATATAATTGGTTAGCTAATCATGTTGCAATATGTTAAGATTGGTTAGTTAAATTTCAGTAGAATGATTGGTTAAGGTATAGCTAAGAATAATACTATATAAATTAGGGACAAACAGGAAGTAAGTTGGGATTCGAAAATAAGGAAAAAGGAACTTGTATTTAAGCTTGCTGGAAGTTCACCCCAATAAACATCAAATTGTTTGCACCTTTGGACTTCGGGTATTGTTGCTCTCTGTTCATGCGAGAAGGACCAGGGAAGTGGGAGAGTGAAGGAATAAGCTCTCTAACAGATTCTTTGGTGGATTAATAGCGGGTGAAGTGGGGAGACAGAAAAACAGGGAGTGGAATAGGTCAGGCAGGTGGTGAGTGGTACACTGATCAGCTGCAGGTCAGGTGGTATACAGACTGAATAAAAGAACTGTAGGTATGTGCTCTTTAGGCAAGAAAACTACTTGCTCAGGTAATCATTTCAGGAGAGGGTTACAGTTGTAGTAAGGAGTGTAGGACACCTACCTTAATTGTGAGTTCAAGTGGTGGAAAGTGGGTGAAAGTTCATAAAATGTTACAACAACCTTTAACAATCAATGTTGATAGAAAAGTTACAATAAGACAAAATTTGAATTTTTGTTTTCAAATGTAAAGCGTTACTCATGCAACTCACAGACTGTTAAAATCATGACTGGTAAAGAGGCAAATGAAATTTGGAAATTAATAGACCAAAATTGGTGTATGGGGAGTTAGATTTAATTGAACAAAATAATGAAGGGATATTGTATTCCACTCATGTCCCCCCACCCCTTTGTGGATCCCCCCCCACCCCAAAGAAAAAGTGCCTCTGGTGATCAACAGGATGGATTAGACTCAGGGGTGGAAGGGAGGCCTATAGGTCTGTGACCACCCCAGAGCCTGTGCTTCACTGGGGAGCCTTGATCATTAGGATGTCTAAACAATTGCACTGATGAGGACTCCTGACCAACCCAACGTCACTGGACCAGCAAGGACCTCAGTCTGATACACATGAGATGCTGGTCTGTCTTTCCTTATGTTCCTTTTGGTGTGTCGCTCTTGCTCTACGCTTTTCACTTGATCTGGAAACTAACTGCAAGGCACCAGCATGACAGGCTGAGAGAGCCCTCCAGCTCTGCCCAGCCTGAAGGAAACTGATAAAGGAAAGTGACCTGACCAGATCAGCCAGATGGCACCCCAGACTGAGGAAGTGAATGAGGGTTTCGTCTTTGATGTGAACTTTTCTCTAGGCCTTCACATCTGGGCATGTCTAAATCTTGCCAATTGTTTCTTTATAACATCTCTAAGATGTGGTCTTTCCTCTCCATCCACATGGCTAAAACTCTTGTCCAAGTTCTCATAATCTCACATCTTAATTAGTGTAACCTCCTTGTCTCTTGCCTTCAGAAATTTAGTCTTGCCCCTCTCTCATCTGTTTAGCCATGTCAGCCTTCTTTGGGTTCTTCCCCAGCTCCCCCTACTCTATCACATCACTTTATCACTTTCATGGCTCTTCAGTCTATCACCCTCTACCTGTCATCTCTTATTCTGTATTGATTCATACCTCCTGTTGGCCCACTTTCCATCCCCCATTTGTTAAATTTTCAAACTAGCACCTTAGTTCCATGCTGCCCCGCAGACTTGGGGGAGCTCCCTTTAATCATGCACACAACTATTTCCTATTATCCTCCTCCATATTCCTCTTTAAAACTCTTCTTTGCCATGATGCCTATCAAAAATACTTGACAACTGTTAGGCCGCTGGTGTGTTGATACCACTTGTAGTCCTGGACCTGGAGTATACCTTGTCATGGGGCAGATAAGAGATTAGAAAGGACTGAAATCATATATGCTGGAGCTATGTTGTGCTCTGAGCAAGATCATTGGAAGATAGCAAATGAATTTATCTGAAATAGTGGAATCTTGTTTCATTTCTTATGGAAAACTGAAGGCATTACTGATGCTTTTCCTGTGATCAGTGTCTGTTTGTTTTTTGTTCTCTGTGATTTATGAAGAACTACATGCTCCTGCATTATGCCTTAATTCATTCCCTAGTAATAAATCATTAAAGTGGCCAGAGTGTGGTGCTGTTAAGCTTGGTGTTGCGTTCTTTTCTATGGCAAAACTTAACTCATTTCACTAATTTGAGGTGTGAAATCCAGATTCAAAATTTGCTTCTCCTGTTTTGGCTTTATAGGTAAGTCTCTTCTGTCAATGAGGGGTGAGGTAGCTTGCACCCTCTGAAACCCAGGTGTTCAGTTTTGAACTGGAAATGGTGTAAGAGATGGGGGGACTAACATTGGCATATACAGTCTGTTTAATGTATCTAATAAATTATCTTGAACTGTATACAGGGCTTTGTGTGTAGTTGTGCCATCCCCTCGCTCACTGCAGATAGTTGACAAGATCATGGAAAACTGAAGCATATGCCCAAGCAGTTGAGTATGTTACCTGGTTCTTGAAATGTTCAAAACTATTTTGAGGGGTTGTATCAATAGCATAGCAGAAGCCTTAGAAATAATAATTAGCTTTTATTCATTTATTTTGATTTCAATATATAGAACCAGTTTATTTTATACACTAGGTGCTATGACTATGAATTAAAAATACAATTAATACAAAACTACCCTCTTCCACAAGCATCAGCCTAACTAAGCTCTTCCTCTATGACACCAAGAACATAGTTCTCAAAGACCTTTACAAAGGGAAGTGCCATTATTTCCCATTTTACAAATCCAGAAATTATGGTGAAGTGTGTTGCCCATACAACAGCTCAGTGACGGAACCAGGAGTAGAACTGAGGTTGTCTGACTCTTAGTTTACTAGGCCGTGCTATCTGTCAGCTTTCCAAAGCACTTTTGCATTACTTTGTTCCAGTGTATGCCTCTTTTAAGGTCTATGACTAAAAGAAGCAGCATACCACGATTTGGGGGGGGGGGGGAGTATTTGAGAGGGAGCACCTCTTTTACAACAGAAGTGGGAGGGACAGTCTGGAGAACATTTTTTGCAATGGTTTTGGATTGGTTTCAAAAGGAAAACAGCTGCCAGGTGGCAGCAAAGATTCACATTAGCTGTTATCAAAATTAACTGTGGGCAAAAAGTGATGTTTACCCCTGGAAGCCTGCTCTATCTCAAGCTCAAGGAGTGTAAGCTGCTTTCAGAAAAGATATATTGTACAAGAGGAATAAAAGATAACCTTTTTCAATTGAAAGATCACCTTCTATTCACCTTTTTTCTTCATTTGGACTACTTTGTGCTCAAGAAATTTCAGCAGTGGTATGTAGTGTCCGACTTTGGTGGCCTCTGCCACAGAGGAAGTTGCACTTAATTAATACTAATTACACCTAGTTTGTAAAATGCTTTGCCATCCATTTGCAACAGATAGTAAATATATTAAATGAAAGAAAATTCTAGCAGTAGACATAGGCTTCACAAATCAAAGATCTAAAATAGCTAGGCTTTGCAGTAATTGGGGATAACTGATATTTATTATTTAGAATATGGATAAGTTAAAACCAGCTTTGACCTGTGCAATATCAGACTATGGATATGTCTATGTTCCATTGTAAACTTGTCTCAGATCCCCTACTCCGCGGGGAGAGGAGAGCCAGATGCTCCTCAGGTTCAAGTCCTGTCATTTTTTGCTGTGTGGATGCAGCTCAAGCTACGACCCAAGTCAGAAAGTCTGCATAGTGTAATATGGACATAATAGTATTTGTTGTGGGTCCAGGATCCAGCAATTGTAAACCTAGGTTTACAATGGAGTGTGAATGCTCAGGTGTAAGTTTGGAGACACTGGGTCCCATAAACCTGTGTTTACAATGCAATTGAGGCATACCCTAGGATCACACTGTGTAAGATTAAGGAAAGATGTGATGTTAAATTGATGCAATTTTGAGTGGGGACATGCTTAGTGACTTTACTTGCCCTATAATAAGTCACTAAAATGAAATAAGACTCTTCAGCGGGCCTTGCACCAGTCTAACTCTATCTTTTAAAAAGCTGATTTGCTATTAATATAGCACTTAAGAGCCCTACTCCTGGCCCTGATCTCATTGTACACCAGGATGAGCTGTTCAGGGCAAAGCTCTAGAACATAACCAGATTTAAATCTATATCTGTGTGTATGCACAGAGGCTAGCACCAGCTTAATTAAAACCAAGGCAGGTTTGAGTGTTGACAAGTTACTTTTATCTTCCACCCCTACTTGTGGCTTGTATTTAAGGTGAGGGTAAACTAGGGCAGAGACTCTTCCTGTGTGTTTAGATACACCCCATCCCCAGGTGCTATCTCATCCCACCTTCACTCAGGGCTGCTGGAACAATTTTTATAAGGTGTGCGCTGAGAGCCCTTGAACCAAATTGTAAATGCTCTACATAAGGTGACCAGATAGCAAGTGTAAAAAATTGGAATTGCGGGATCAAGGGGGTGGAGAAAGGCACCTATATAAGACAAAGCCCCAAATCTCAGGACTGTCCCTATAAAATCAGGACATCTGGTCACCTTACCTGTATATAATGAAACCACTTCCTGCCAGGGGCTGTGGCAGCATGAGCATCCCTAGTTCCAGCACCTATGATTTTACTATAAATGTGCAAAAACAACGAGGAGTACTTGTGGCACCTTAAGGACTAACTCATTTATTTGGGCATAAGCTTTGGTGGGCTAAAACACACTTCATCAGATGCATGGAGTGAAAAATACAGTAGGCAGGTATAAGTACACAGCATATGAAAAGATGGGAGTTGCCTTACTCTGTGTGTGTGTGTGTGTGTGTGTGTGTGGAGGGGTGTGTCAGTGCTAATGAGACAATTCAATTAAGGTGGAAGTGGGCTATTCTTAACAGTAAAATACTTTGTAGCAGTAATGAGGTCAATCAGGGTGCCCCATTTGAATCAGTTGACAAGAAGGTGTGAGTAACAGTATGGGGGAAATTTAGTTTTTGTAGTGACCCATCCACTTCATCTTTATTCAGGCCGAATTTGGTGGTGCCCAGTTTGCAAATTAAGTCTAGTTCTGCAGCTTCTCCTTGGGAGTCTGCTTTTGAAGATTTTTGTCGAAGACTTGCCGCTTTAGATAAATGTGCGTTACAGAGAGCGCTGGCACCCAGGCTGGCTCTCAGCTGAGCCGCAGAGTAGGGGCCAGCCCCGGGCGCTGTGCTACTGCTGCGCCGCGAGAGCCCTGTGGCCGCGCGGGCTGGAGGCTCCCGCCCCAGGGCCTGGCCGAGCTCCGCTCAGTACTTACCGCCCGAGTGTGACTAGGGCGCCCTCCGCCAGGGGTGCCGGCCCGGCCCGGCGGGGAGGGGCAGTGACCGCCCCCCGCTCCGGCTTACGGGAAGTGATGTCGCCTTGACGGAAAACACACGCTCGCCGCCTAAAAAAGGGCAGGGGCCAGAGGGACTCGGTGCTGGCTGGAGCAGAGTGGGGAGCTGCCGCCAGGTAAGGGGGCTGCGAGCTCGGTGTCCTCGCTGGCCGCCCGGGGTGAGGAGCGCCCGGGGGTGTGAGGGTGGAGCCAGGGGCGCGGCGCGGGGCGGTAGCAGCCCGGGGAGGGGGTCGGAGACCGGGCTGGGCTGGGCTGGGGAGCAGCGTCCGGAAGGAAGGGCTGGAGCTGGCCGGGCAGCGGGTTACTCCAGGGAGGACGGGCAGGGTCTGCTTTGCCCGGCCTCTTCTCCCCCCTCCCGGGAGCCCAAGCCGCGATGCCGGGCTCCGGAGCTTTCCCGGTCGGGTGCGGGAGATTGGCGCTGCGTGTCGTTACAGGGCATGGCCCCTGCGCAGGTGTAAGGGGACCAAACGGTTGGTTTCAAAATAAAACGTAACGGGTCCTTCGGGGGCAGGATCCCAGCCCCCGCCTGGCCTCAGGAAACGCTGCTTGACGAACCCCTCTAAGGTCCCCCTGAGCCTGCCCCACCAGAAACCTGCTGAGCCCTCGCTAAGCGCAAGTTATCTCCCGTGGATGCTGATCGACTTTCCTGTGTGTCGAGCCGTTTAAAATCTCCCTCGGATCGGCGGGAGCTTGGCAGCTCACATGGAAGCAGCACGGGGAGAGATCGGCGCACTCAAGCAAAACGCCAGGGAGGCGCTCCACACGGGCGTGCCGGGCTCGGAATAACTTTTCGTTGCATGCGTTTGTTCATATTTGCTGTCAAACAGGGGCTGGACCGGGGTTCTGCAGGTGGGAGAACAAATGAGGGGTGTTATTGCTTTAGTTTGTTTAGCATTGCTAATCCGGAGTTGAATTAGAGTGAAAGACAAGGCAGATTTCTTTTTAATTGTAATAAATATTAAATAGGCCCCAAGATGTCCTGGGGTGTATATTTTTAAAATGATCAAGATATGTTTTCCTGGGCCTCCAGGCTCAGCAAACATGGTGAACTTTGCAAAACAAAAATACTAAATCATTTAAAGGGAGCTTTGTCGGGCTTGGTTTTCTCTAGAACTGGTTTGCCAGGTGCAAATTAAGTTTTTTCCATGTTCTTTCAGTTCTGCTGTGAACTTTTAAAGGCTTCTGTCCTGCAAGCATGTAAGTACATGCTTAACTTTATATATTGGAGTAGTTGACTTACCATATGCCTGAAATTAATATGTGTAAGTGTTTGCAGGATTCAGGGCCAAATTCATGTTCTGGAGGGAAGAACTTCTAGGTCCTGATCTTGCAATGATTTATGCATTTGCTTAACTTTATTATGGCATGTAGTCCAGTTTGAAGGATCAGGGTCTTAGCACACAGCAGCTAAAGAAACTCCACGTTTCCCAACACCGAGGACTTAAAATTAGTGGGGTTACGCAATTAAAAAATACTTTTGAGGTGGGTCAATGACTGATGAGGGCGAAATATAAATGTATGTCAACAAGTTATGCACATACTAATAATAACTACTGAAATTTCATCATTACCTTTCTACAAAGGGCAGCTTTAAAAGAGTGAGCTAGCTCAAATGATTCAGTGGTTTTGTTCACGCTGACTTGCAATGCAACTCCTCTCTCTGAACCAAGACTTTGATCATGTTAGAACTAAGGAACAGCAAAGCAAAGAGGATCAAGATAACTTTCCCCTTCCTTTTGCCTGTCTGTGTAAAACTTTCTTAGTAACAGATAACTGTATCCTTGACCTCATTTTAATGTCAATTCTAAAGGGCATGTCTTCACTGTCTGAAATCTCCAACTTCAGTTTCAGTCACTGCTTTGAGCTGCGTCATCATATCTTAATTTGAACATCTTGATTGTGTGAATGATCAGACAAATACTCCTAACTACTGGTGCTTAGATACTTTGGTGATAGAAAAGCCTTACTAGGAGTAAAAAGCCTAGTAACCTAGCCTTACTAGGTTATCCCAGATACTATTGGAAAGATAATTTTCTTTAGAATTGCAGTATGATGTCAGGTTTGTTTGTGACCTATTAAAAATGTTTCAATTTACATGAATAAACTCAAGTAGCAGAACCCATTAATTTTTAAAATATAATTTGCATACCTTAAGTATCCTGTGTCTTGGACATATATTGTCACTTGTGTTGTATTTCCTTCCTGTGCCTTTACAAAGCTATTTTGTCCTTATTTATTATTTTTATTAACCCTGTGAATTGGATCCCTAGTCGTGGACCAGGACCCCATTGTGCTAGGTGCTGATAGCACTTCTGTCGCTTTTTTTCCTGGCTGGCACAAAATAACACAATCTGAAAAGCAGCTATAGTGATAGAGTTCATGATGCTGAAAGATTACCTCTAAAGTACCGTATAATAGAAATGAATAGCGGTATTTTAATATACTATTGTGTCTAGCCAAGGATTCAAATTTGTTGTTAAAGGTCTTATTTCAGAGTCTGTAAAGTAGTTCTGAACTGGTGATACATTGTGCAACTTAGAATTTGTCATTTAAAAATTTATTAATAGGTATAACACGTAATGGACTAGAATTTTAAAGCCTCTAGCCCAATGAAGCTTTTGTTTTAAATATTTTATAGTGTTTTAAGCTTTTTCCTCACTGTGTGATGCAGAAACTTGCTAGTTTATCACTTGAACACTCAGGTTTTTTCCTTCCAAAGAGAAGAATGTTGAGCTAAAGGGATTTTTAACTGGATTTAGGTATACGGACAAATATTTTTGGTAGCAATCAGTGACTTTTCTGTAGGTAGTGTTTTTGGAGAATAGCTCCGTTTCTGCCAGGTGTCTGGTGTGCTGGCACATTGACTGTTAATTAGTCTATCACTCCATCACACACACCCTTGCTTACATACAAGGGGCATTTCTAGACCTCACAAAAGATATCTTGTTCTAAGTACGTATTTTATTTAGGAGCAGGTAGAATGGCCATTGGAGATTAGTTGCTATTGCTTATATCTTCTATTAGTTATAACTCTTTGCTGGTCTAGTAAGTAGGTGTCCCTAAAAAAACTACATTAAATTGTTAGGCCTTTGACTTAAGAATTTCTCTTGCATTTTTTTTTTTTAAAGTAAATGTTCTGCTTCACACTAAATTTTTCCACCCTTGTGTTTAGCTTATTGCATGTACAGGCCCTGATCCTGCAGAGATTTAAATTTGTGCTTAACTCATTTAGCTCAGTGGGACTAGTTATGTGCTTAAAACTAAGCATGTGCATATATCTTTGCAGGAGTGGGATTGTTATGTCTGCTCCGGAGTATGTTTCTCCTCTTTGTCTTGAAAACCCTGTCCGTGCTGGAAATAAAAAATTGTGTTCACACAATGGGTTTAAACATAGTTAAAATTGGTTCGGGTAAACACAGATTGGGGAGCAGATTGGGACTGCACTGGTGTTCATCAAAAACAATCTCTTGCAATCAGCAGAAAGTAGATTTTAATTTTATGGAAATTTGTTTCAAAGGTTTTTCTTTAATCACACCACCTCTAAGTATTCAGGGTTAGCTTGAACCATGCTTTACACCAGTTCCGGTAACACATTTTTATCTCCACTCTGGAGGAAGCCTTGGTGGGGGTGGCAACCCAAATGCTTCATTTTTATAATTGATCTTCCATATATTATTTTTATATATAATACAATTTTACTATAAGTGTTATAAAAATAAACACCCCACTTATGACCGCATACACACAATCTGTTTGTTTTTTTTATACCCAGTCTATAGCTCCTTCAGATACAATAATAATATAAATAGAAACAATTTTCTTCCAAATGAATTATTGTGGCTCCCTGGAATTGCCACAACGTGATCTTTGTCAGGATTTTGCCTACTATAAGACCTGGAATTCCATTTGCCTACTCACCAGACAGCTCAGGGGCAGCTTTCCCTGGTGAAAGCGGAGCTAGTCCGTCAATCTGTGCAAGAATCAACAACTTAACACAGCCTCAGACAAAACTGAGTAAAGGAAGTTATTGGCATTTGTGGGAGATGGATCTGAAAAAAAAGGCTGGAGAAAGGTAGAGAGGAAACATTTTTTCTTTCCACTTGCAGAAGCTAGGAGGCTTGGAGAGAGGTAGAAAGTAGGTTAAGTATCCCACTCACCAAACAGTGAGGAGGCTCTGGAGCTTGGGGGGTAGAGGGGATAACCCTTCCAGCAACTGGTGGGGGGGAGAGAAGGAATTCTCTGGTTTCAGGTACCTACTGGCCAGAGGCTGATAACTAAGATGGAGTTTTCAAGCAGGATCTAGGCACAGGAATTCTAGAACTCTGCCCCTTCACAATCACTGGGGATTGGTTGTCCCATACTGGTGGTGGTCCTCTCACCGGCTTCCACTTTTCTTCCCTTCACGTTGGGGATAGTAGGCTTAATCCTATGGCTATAAAAGGCATAATGAGGGACTATGGTTGGAAGCAGAACATAGACAATAGAGTGAGGGTCAAAGTTGTCCATTGGAACGCTTTTCCTAGGAATGTGGTGGATTCTCCATCACTTGAAGACTTTAAATGAAGACTGGATATCCATCTAAAATATATAGTTCAAACAGAAGCTCAGGGTTGGATGCAGAAATTATTGGATGAGGTTCTTTGTCTTGTGTTTATGCAGGAGGTCAGACTAGATCAGTCGTTCTCAACCTTTCCAGACTACTCTACCTCTTTCAGGAGTCTGATTTGTCTTGCATACCCCAAGTTTCAGCTTCAGCCCTGCACAGCGGGACTTGGGCTTCAGCTTTCTGCCCTGGGCCACAGCGAGTCTAACACTGGCCCTGGTGACCTCATTAAAGTGAACTCGTCCACAGTTTGAGAACTGCTGACAGTATTAGCAAGTCATTGTCCATATGAAATTTTTGTTTGTATTGGTTTTGCTAGTGCTTTTTATATAACCTGTTGTAAAAGTAGGCAAATATCTAGATAAGTTGATGTACCCCCAGAAGACCTCTGTGTATCCCTGGTTGAGAACCACTGGATTAGATGATCGTACGTGTCCCTTATAGCCTTAAAAATCTATGAATGGAGGTGTCTGGTAAAGTTTTCAAGTTCTGACCTATCCTCTAGAGTCCAAAGGTTAGGTACTAGATACTACTTTAATTTTATTATCTAAAATTCCTTTTAAAACAATGGTAGTTTGCTAGGTATCCAAACTATTCATAATGCACATAATATAGAACATTGTTAATGAAAGAAAAATGCGTATACTACACATTGTACGTGTGGCAGTACTTTCTCACCAATAATAAGTGAGCCACCAGGTTGGTGGGTGGGTGTTGTTTTTGTTTTGTTTTTTGCAGATGTTGAAATGGTTAATCTTCTTTTGCAGGTCAGCTGTTTTGCAAAGTGTTGTTTTTGAAATTCAGATAACTTAATTTTGGAGAATTCAAGGAACAAAAATGTTCAAAATGCCAAAATACTGCTTTGGTGAATTGTTTAATGACTGGCTCCTGGCTTTTCACCCACACACTGGGCCTCCCTTGACCTGAGGAAAAATGAGTAAGAGGAGGCAGGAGGGAGGCTAATTGGTAGCATCCTACATTGGTGGGGGAAGAGGGAACTAATGGGTAGCATCATAAGTTGTGGTTCTGCAGACCCGTGCTTATCTTTACACGTGTGTGAGCAGTCCCTTTGAAATGAATTGGAGCTTTAGTAGGCATCTGCAGGCCAGCATTGCAGAAGGCAGGCAGATTAGTTAGTCATCCAGAAGATGGATCTAGGGAGTTCCTTATCCAAACTGATGTGAACCTAAGGGTGAGGATTCAATCTGGGAATTGTTTCTTTCTTTCTATGAACTGGTTCATCCATCCCTTATTATGAACTACAAGAATGAGCAGCTTATGTCTATGAGCAAAGCCTGCAATGGTCTCATTATAGCATCAGTAGTCTGTGAGCCGACTAGTCTATGAATGGAGGTGTCTGGTAAAGTTTTCAAGTTCTGACCTATCCTCTAGAGTCCAAAGGTTAGGTTCTGACCTATCCTCAAGTTCTGACCTATCCTCTAGAGTCCAAAACAGCCTCCCACACCAAGATTCTTAGTCCTAAAGACATTTAATTCCAGTGTTCTAGATAAGCATAGCTTGCACGGTGGGTACAATTCTGTTAATTAGAACAATACTGAAATTGTTATACAAAGTTTTATTTATTTGTAAATGT